GTGCAGGAGGCAGCTCAGCGATGTTTCTCTCTCATCGATGTTTCTAACTCTCTGTCCCTCTCCCTTCCTCTCTGTGAAAAATCAATAAAATATATATTTTTTTAAAAAAAAGAAAGAAAGAAATAGAGCCTCTGGGAGGATTGCTCTCTGCCCCGTTAAAACTAGGGGGTGGAGAGGACTGGTGTTCAAAGGAAGAAGAGGAGATGGGTGCTGCTCGTACCTTGTCTCTTCCACATCTCCCGCTTGAAGACAGACAAGTGTAAGCACCACTTCCTCCATAAACGCTTCCTGGACACCAGCCCTCCCCTCCAACATCCCATGACTTAGGAACCCTTCCTCAGGGGCCATCATTTCTGGTTCTGTGTTTGTCCCTGTAATTACCACATTGTTTTGTAATCACCCCTCCATGAGTAAGGCTTTCCCAATGGAAAATGACTTTCTTAAAGAAAAAGGGACTGGTGTATTAGCCATCCCTGTTTCCCTAGTACCTGACGCATACTAAATCTGCCAGTGGCATTGTTCAAAACCATTTCTTTCGGCTGCTGGGGACATTTCTCTTCCTCTCTTGTTCCCACTTTATTGGATTCCGCTACTAATTGCCGGAATGGCCCCCCACCCCATTATTTCACACCCCATGGTTGCATGTTGTAAAAATGCATGGAGGATGGGAGGGTCTGACCCACCAGACAGTATGCAGAGAGTATGGAACCCAGCAAGAGGGCCTATCAGCCAGCAGCACCTGCCACCACCAATGGGTGCATTTCCCACTTGCTAATTACATCTGTGCAGGGCATCAACCCTTTCTTGTTCTCTTAGACTTCTCTAGAAACACTCAACAAAGCCATTGCTGGATTTGTGGTGATGTCTGAAGAAATGGAAAAGGTGTATAACAGTTTCCTCAACAACCAAGTTCCCTCGCTGTGGTCCAACACAGCCTACCCGTCCCTGAAACCACTAGGATCATGGGTCAAAGACCTTATTCTGAGGACCGCATTTGTGGACGTAAGAAAATGCTCTTCTGTGGGATTTGATAAATCTGGCGACGCCGTTGGCCCTAAGGTCCGTAGGGAGCCCTAGCTAACATATCGACAACCCTTGAGGAATCATCTCAGCCCAAGGAAACAGATCCTCTCAGAATGGCATCACTTTAGACATGCCGTGCTCATTGTAATGGAGTTTGCCCCAGGCCTTATCCCAACATCCCATTTCAATTCCATGCCATCCCTGGAGATTCATATTTTGTTCACGGGACCCCACTGTGAGGTACAGAACCAACCTGAAATGGGCCCGAACCCCAGTGTGGCCTTGTTACCATCTTCCTCTTGTCCACCCTCTGTAATAACCAGGTTCTGGGTTTGTGGTCAGGCTGCGGGGTGAGAGCAGGGCCAGGGCAGGAGGTCAGGATGGGGCTGGCGGCTCACTCAGGACTGCGTTAGATTCTGCCTCCTGGGAGGCCCTCCAGAATCTGACTTTGATTTAAATGACAAACTCCGTCTCAGGAAAACAGTACATTTTGGTGTAATGTGTCTCCTTCAGCTGTGGCTCAAACGAGGGCAGCCTAAGTCCTTCTGGATCTCCGGGTTCTTCTTCCCTCAAGGATTTCTAACAGGTACGAGTGCTTTCCCCACGGACACCCCCCAGGAAGGCATGGTGTGCTCGGGCCCGGGCCTCTAAGATGGGCAAGATGGCATGGCTGAGACTAACCTCGCCATGAGGCTGTGGACTTATAGGGAAGTCCAGTGAGGCCCAGCTCTTCCTGGCTTGCCAGGGAAAAGATTGACAGAAACAACAGATGTTCCCTAACCCCTGCCCTTGTCAGGTGATGCAAACACCGCTGCCCCTGTGGACATACACAATGAGCCCCAGATCCCCTTGCAACCCGTGCTCCAGGGCACCACACGCCCTCCAGCTGCTCCAGCTCCAAGTCTAAGCAGCTTCCCTCCCTCTAAAGCTCTTTTAAGAAAAATTTTATTTTTTCATTATAGCTGACTGAAAAATACTCCTGATTCCTTTCCTCAGCCCAGGGGGCAGCGGGATGTTATTTCAGGGATTCCTGCTAGAAAGCCCCAGAGCGGGCCAGGGCCACTGGGCTGCTAGATGCTAATCCGCTGAGCCCTTTTTCTCTCTCCTCCTGAATCCCCAGTAAACAGCCCATACAAGACAGCTGAACAGGACTGTCAAGTTGGGGAGACTGGGTTCTGGAGCTCCCTCACTAGTTTGTCTCCCTCCAGGGCAGAGCAGTGCACTTCAGACTTAGTCTCCTTCCCTCTCTTCCCAGCCATGACCACAATACACATGTTGGCCCCGCCCCTCCCAGCATCACCCACAGGCTTCCTGTCTCCGTGATCTAATTCAGAATAAGGTGCCAATGGTTGCCCCTTCTCCATGGAGAGGAAGCTCTCTAATGCTAGAGCAGCCTGGTTGGGGGCAAGTGGGGGCTGTATTTGGACAGCAATGATCTTGGTCAGAGGAGCCATTTTTCTGATTTTTTCTGTTTACAGGAACGCTTCAAAATCATGCTCGGAAATACAATTTGCCTATAGATGAGCTGAGTTTCAAGTACAACGTAATTCCTGTCTATCGGGATCAAGCCGCAGTTATAGAAGCTGCCAAGACGGTGAGGTTTGGAGAAGAACTACCCATGGACCTGCAGGTATTGTCTCCCTGACTGCTGTGATAGCAATGCAGCATCTGTCCCACGTTCATTCAGTGTCTCTGCCAACCTCCCCTGCCTCTCCTGCCTCCCATACGTGAGAGCAGAAGGGGCAGGATGGGGCTCACACCCCCCAAATCGAGCTCCCCAATTAGCAGTGACTAGATCTGAACCCAATGTGGGACAGGGGGAGGAGGTAGAGGTGGTGCCTACACCAGCAAGCAGTTCTCAAACACCAGTTGGGAGACCTACAATTCAGCTCAATTCTGACACTACCCAGAGATAGCATCTTACCCCACAGATTCTGACCCTACAAGATTGCTCCCCACCACCCCCATTTCAAATGCCAGTTTCAAGCCCACATTGTCACCTGTGCTTCTGACCCATTGGCTATATGTCAGAGGTTCCCATGACTCCATCCTGGGCTTCAATCAATTTGCTAGAGTGGCTCAAAGAACTCAGAGAAACTTTATTCGGATCCGGCCCGTTTGAAATGAATAAAACTATTGAAAAAAAAGACCGTACCCTTTTATGTAATGATGTTTACTTTGAATTTCTATTAGTTCACACAAACACTCCATCCATGCTTTTGTTCCGGCCCTCCGGTCCAGTTTAAGAACCCATTGTGGCCCTCGAGTCAAAAAGTTTGCCCACCCCTGGGTTAGAAGGATATAACTCAGAACAGCGAGATGGAAGCGATGCCTAGGGTAAGGTACAGGGGAAGGGCACAGAGCGTCCATGCCCACCAAGTGGGCCACTCTCCCCACATCTCCACCTGTCCACCCTGAAGCTCTCTGAACCCAGTCCTGTGGGGGTTTGTGGAGGCTTCATTACATAGTCATGGTTGATTGGATCACTGGCCATCGGTGACTGAACTCAGTCTCCCTCCCTAGAGGTGCTGTGGGGGGATACACTGACAGCTCCAGCCCTCATCTATAGGTGCTGCCCAGACCCATCTCATTAACATAACAAAAGACACCTCTATCACTTTCAACATTCAGGAAATTCCAAGGATTTCGGGAGCTGTGAGCCAAAGTCACAGAAGGCCCTGGCTGGTTGCTTAGTGGTTAGAGTCACGGGTTCGATTCCCAGTCAAGGGCATGTACCTCGGTTGCAGGTTCCTCAGCCCCAGGAGGAGCACCTGTGGGAGGGAGCTAATTGATGTTTCTCTCTCTCTTCCTCTCCATTCCTCATGAATATTTCTGGAATTTTGTTGAATGATCTGTAAAACTATTAAAAATTAATTTGATTATAAAGTTAGGAGCCTATTGCAGATGATTCCTTAACCTTAAGGTTTACACACACACACACACACACACACACACACACACACAGTGGGGCCTTGACTTACGAGTGTCCCGACTAACGAGTTTTTTGAGATACCAGCTGTCTCTCGGCCGATTTTTTTGCATTGAGTTGATATAGTAATTTGAGTTAACGAGCTCCTTAATGAGCTCCTTAAGGAGCTCGGTCTCGGAATGAATTAAACTCGTAAGTCAAGGCCCCACTGTATATATAATATTTTGCTTATCTGAATGACCAAACATATATTTTTTTTATAAATCACACTATCACAGATACCTACAGTAACTTTCTTCTTGTGAAGAAAATATATCAAGAGGTTAAAAGCAGGAGTTTCAGAATCAGGCAGGCCTAAACTTAAATTCTGACTCTTCCCCTCTGTCAGGCCAGCAAGAGCACTGCTCAGCCTGCTGCTCTGAGTTGTTCCAAGTCCATATTCCTCTCAATTCTTCCCAACCACGCCAGGGCTGGTCCCTTCTTGAGCTCTGCCCACTGTTCTAACTGTTGGGAACTTAGTCCAAGTTCCTCCTTTATCCTCTGCTCACTAGTTACAGGTGTTGGGTCTCAGCCCCTCTGCCTGGGGCTGGACCTCCTTGGACACCGGGCCTTAGACCAAGAAGCCATGAGAGGCTGTGGGTGTAAGAATGAGTCTTTATTGCAGAAGCCAGTGGCCATAACTCATCAGACAAGACAGTCCTTTATAGCAAAGTCCATAGAGACAGGCAGCCAGACGCCGGCTAGTGAATTCGTATCTTTCCCATGAAGCAGCATCAGTCTCTGTAGCCACAGCTATTACCTGAGCAGCCGCACGCTGCCCCCTAGACCAGCCGTGGGCAAACTACGGCCCGCGGGCCAGATCCGGCCTATTTGAAATGAATAAAGCTAAAAAAAAAAAAAAAAAAAAAAAGACCGTACCCTTTAATGTAATGATGTTTAATTTGAATTTATATTAGTTCACACAAACACTCCATCCATGCTTTTGTTCCGGCCCTCTGGTTCAGTTTAAGAACCCATTGTGGCCCTCGAGTCAAAAAGTTTGCCCACCCCTGCCCTAGACTCACCACCTCACATCATAACAGTACCTGAGCTCCCCTGCCCAGCACACTAGCTGGTTAACATGGTAGCTATATCTGAGCTCTCTATGAGCTCTTAGCCTTGATTGGTAGCAGTATCAGCTGTCAGCTACCATCTGAGCTCTCTAGCCTCTCCTGCACACATAGGTATATTGACAACAAGGCCTGTCACTCCCATTGTCCATGACTATCCGGGAACCTTGGCCTGGTTCCCACAACCTCTCCAGCTGTGTGTGCTAAAGCCATTACTATCATATCTGCACCTCAGTGTTTGCATCTGTAAAATGGGGCTGATGCCACCATCTTCAGAATTGTAGTGCAGTATAAACAAAACTGCAGATGTCATGTTACCCACACAATAAATATCATCATAAGATGAATTATCTGCATCATTCATCCAGCTGTCTCTTAACAGAAGTGATACACTGGTTTCATACATTATATAAGTAATTGAAGAACTAATGTAACCGGACTGCCTGTTACAGGGGGTCCAGGCTGCCTGTCACTACTTCAGCCAATTAAGCAGAGACAGGGTTGAATCATATATGAGGAGCGTTTATTCCAATACTGCCGGCAGTAGGGGAGAGCAGCAGGTCACCCACAAAAATCTGCTCTGCCCTCCCCATAAGCCAGCTGCTTATATTGGGTAGAAGGACAAAGATTACGTGGGAAAGTAGGAATGACAGGCATGGGAAAGTCGGCACAGTATAATCATTACAGGTTACAAGTCTACAGGCTGGGGCCGGCGGGGGGTCGGGGGCAGAGTGGGGGAGGAGGGGACATCACAGAGGGCGGGTGCCTCTGGGTGTCCCGGGACCAGATAACAGGTAATAGGGGCTGGGGTTGTAAAGAGCAGGTGCCTCCAGGACTAGGTTGTTTCAGCCACGAGGTTGTAAATCTTTCCATGATGATGGCAGTTCTCAGGACAGGAGGATGGACTGCATTCTGGTGTTAGCGCCCATGTCCCAGGGCGTACAACTCCCAGCCAGGTTAGAATGTGCTTTCTCTAATCAGAACAAAACAGTCATGGTAACAGAGCATGATGAATATTTCCTCCTTTATTTCTTGTAACAGCTAGTCCTCACTATTCTATTTCTGCCCTTAACACGAATAAGCATTCGCAAAGGGCTGTTTAAACTCTTTGCTCACAGTTTACAACCTCCCGAGAGAGGCTCTCAAAGTGGGGTTCCCAGACCAGCAGCAGCAGCATCGCCTGGGAACTTATTAGAATTGCAAATTCCAAGGACTCCTTCCAGGCCCACTGACTCAGAAATCTGTATATTTTAACATGTCCTCCATGGGGGTCTTAGCCCGCTAACCTTTGAGAACCACGGCTCTAGCATGTTAGTGATTCTCAACCTTGACTGCAGGTTAAAATCACCTGTAGTGCTATGTTCCAATGCCCAGGCCACATCTCAGTTAGATGAGGATCACCCCAACACATTGGGCATCGATGTTTTATAAAGCTCCCCTGGTGATTCCTGTATGCAGCCAGGGGTGTGAGCCAACGCCGCCAGGCTGAGCTACCCAGCGTAGAGGCACGGAGATGTTTAGGGGGAAAGGGAGCCTCTGACTCAAAGCCTCTGACTCGGTTCACCCCAGTGGGCCTTATATGTGTCATGAAATCAAAAATTTGCTCCAGATTGCTCTTGCCAATAACGTATCCACTAACCCAGTGGTCGGCAAACTCATTAGCAGAGCCAAATATCAACAGCACGACAATTGAAATTTCTTTTGAGAGCCAAATTTTTTAAAATTAAAGTATATAGGTAGGTACATTGTTATTAACTTAATTAGGCTACTCCTAAGGCTTAGGAAGAGCCACACTCAAGGGGCCAAAAAGCTGCACGTGGCTCGCGAGCCGCAGCTTGCCGACCACGGCACTAACCAATCAGTGGAGTTGGGGTGAATGGCTTTTGCTAGCTAAACCTGCCTTAAAATATCATGGTATTAGTAGGAACTAACTGTTCCTGGGCAATTCTATCAGCATCCACTCTACTCAGATCTGCTCCCATAGCCTTGAAAGACCTTGCTGACAAATAACTGATGGTCATCACAGTCCTCTCATCCCACCTGCTTCCCATGAGGAGGGAGAAGTCTTATCATCATGATCGCTATGCTGAGGCACATGAAGGGTTTCCCAGGGGTGTCGCCTATGAGAAATGTTGATGGAGTATGCGGTTTGGGGTCAAGCTAAAAAAGCAAGTTATTTTACCTGTCGGAGCCTCTCAACCGTATTCTCCTCGCGAGAATATGAGGAACAGCAGCAATCTGGTTCTCAGAATTCACTGAGGAGGATGTGGGGCCACAGCTGCTGACCGCCTTCTCCTCTTCTCACCTGTAAACTTCTGGGTGTGTTTCAGTTGCCCTCCCCTGAGGACGGAGTTCTCGTGCATGGGATGTTCATGGATGCTTTCCGGTGGGACGATAAGGCGATGGTGATAGAAGATGCGCTGCCCGGACAGATGAACCCAGTGCTGCCGGTGGTGCATTTTGAACCTCAACAAAACTACGACCCAAGCCCAGTACTTTATCAGTCCCCACTTTATAAAACAGGGGCCCGGGCAGGAACACTCTCAACCACAGGTAAGGATGCTCTGACCCTGGTACTAATAATGACCAAATGCAAACTACAGTCGAAGCCCAAACACTAAGCTGTCCCTTCGTCCAACTAGCTAGGCTTAAAGTGAGGCCCACTTATACAAATTTACGAATGCTGTAATCTCTGTTTATTTTAATATGGAGTATGATTGGATATTTTAAAACCGATGATTGCTTCTATTAGTCTAATGAGTAGAAGATAGTTTATTGAGCAGTGACTTCTAATTTTTCAATGATGGCGTGAGTCGGCACTAAAATCTCTCACCAAATCCACTGAGACTCATCAAAGAGATTTTATTTTTATTTATTTGTTTATTTTTAAATATATTTTTTATTGATTTTTTACAGAGAGGAAGGGAGAGAGCTAGAGAGTTAGAAACATCGATGAGAGAGAAACATCAATCAGCTGCCTCCCGCACATCTCCTACTGGGGATGTGCCCGCAACCCAGGTACATGCCCTTGACCGGAACCGAAC